AAAAAAGGAAAAAAAAAAAAAAAAGGATGGATTCGAGGAAATAATTTGGTAATATTTCTCCATGCTATGTAAGCAGAACACATGGTTTCGGAGAGGTGGTGGTACAACTTGACGAAACGAGTTTAATTCAAGTCATTAGCGCACGCCCACATCGAATGGTCTGTTGCGGGCCGAGCCCACCTCTTTCGCCGCGTGAATACGCAGACACTGAGGGGCCACGAAACTCGAGGAAATATACCTGTGTATGGAATTCGTCGAGCCCAATAAAGCGTTTTTTGCGCGCCCACGAGATCCGCTACGGGGCCCTTCCTGTGGCCAGAAAGATTCGTACCAAACGAGCTCTGTGTAAATTCGAAAGAGATCCGTTCTTGGTATAGCATGGTCTAGTCCGTGGATTTTTAATCCTTTCATCGAAGCTATGAAAGGTAAGAGAAAGAGAAAGAACTTGTTGGTCATGTTTCTTTGTGCATGTAGGAAAAATTTAGCTAGACTTTGTTCCGAAAAAATTGTATAGGTATATTGTCTGTAATGATTGATGATGAATTGAAAATTCACAAGTTTTTCTGTGTTCAAAAAAAAAAAATTTTTTAATTTAATTATAAAAAATAATTTTAAAAACAATGATTCGAAAGTGAAAAAATTCTTTGATGTAATTTTATTATACAAGAAAATCATGATATTATACAAATGAAGCTTCAAAGAAAAATATAACAATTTATTATAATACAAAAATATTTACATTCATATATACAAATAAATTCTTGACGCACTTCTTTTCTTTTATAGGCGCGCTGTTCTCAGCAAAAATAATTGAAAATATATCTTTTTTTCTTTGATCGAAATTGTATCTTTATCGGCTATCATAGGTCAAAATGTTTAAAACAGATCAGAAACTTTTTTTACTTCATGAAATATACATATTTATATTTATAATCTTATTAATAAATACGTCAATACTTTCATTCCAATACCATAGTTCTATCCTTGAAATAAGTTTTTAAAAAGAGAATTCTAACCTCATTGTCATTTAATTTTCCACAATTCAATTTCTCCATTCGATAGTTCAAAGATTAAAATAATACTGTTTTGCATATACGATATTATTCACGTATATACATAGACCGAATACAGATCAAAGTAAGGCAAATATTACGAGAAACTTTCATCGCGAACTGCTTTTGTGGGGAGAGAATGACTATTCTGCGCAAACTCACCGCACCGAGAACAACTATAATCGAGTTAAACGGCAAACGGGTAACAAAACATCAACGAAACGAGAATTCCACCCGTACGTGGTGATATTAAATGCGAGTATTTAACGCCGTTCTGCATAATTTCACATCGCATCGAGCATCCATGCACAAGAGACCCCTATCTAAATGGCATACATATTCCACTTTAGCATGTAGATACATTATTTTGAGGTTATATTCATTATTCTCTTGCGAAAAAATTAATTGTTTAAACAAAATCGTCACATATTTATTATAATATTTAATTAATTAAATCTAAACACATTAAATTTCTCACCATTTAATATCTCTAATATTTGATGACAAAATTTTGTTATCGTGAAAATGAAATGCAGAATTAGAAAAAATACTTGAATGGAAATAAAGTTATATGCAAATATATTTTTTTCATATTATTATATTGTCTCACATTTCAACGACACATTTTAATCTTTTATTAATTTAAAAACTATTAAAACTATGATAAAAATATTTACTTATGGTAATCCACCTACACTACGAAATTTTCAAGACTGCCATCTAGTGACACGCGTGACTGTAGGTTAGACATTATGGAAGACAAGGTGGCCAAACTAACTAGACACGGATCGACTGATCCCTTCGCGATATTCCCTATCAATTACCTTTCGGAGATTATCGCTGGAGGAATTGTTGGCCAAGCTGTAACGAGACCCGTTTGCCGTATAATTTATTCGATAGCGGAGATTCGTGATTGGTTGCGCGGCCATCGCGCGATTTGTATTTAGATCTAATTTGCGATTCAACAGTATGGCAGTAGAGGACTGATCTCGAATTCTGCATTCATGAGACCGGATACATGCGTGAATATCTGCTACAGTATAGAGGACGCTACGTACTTACTTTGACGTACTTACTTTTGACACATTGTTGAAGCTAACAATGGAAAACAGAAAAAAAATTATCGAGAAATTGAAGTGGGAAAAAAAAACGATTTTCATATATATTAATTCATATTTTAATTAAGAATAAGATTTATATAATAATTGATTTAGGTTCATTTGTTGATTTAAGTTTTTTTTTTTGTATAATTACATTTGTGAGACATAATTAAAAATTTTACAATATTCATGATATATAAAATGATTTCAATTATTCATTTGATTTATCTATAATTATTCAAAATTGATTTTTTTTACGAAATTTTTATTTCTTAGCACATATAGCTTTTTTTAAATTTATTTAACTTAAGCATGAGTTATCGAGAGTCGAAAGTTATTCGCAATAGATAAATCTTTAATAAAAATTTCGGATTGAATGCACAATAGTTTTTCAGTACAAATATTCCTTAATTATTACAAATTATACAATGTTACGTTTTGAAATGTTTATATAAACATTTATTGTTTTGATTTCACATCATAAATAATTAGATTTGTAAATATTTATACATTTATAGGAAATTAAAATTTGTAAATTAACACAAGAATATGTAATATCGGAACAATATTATTTTAAAAAAATAAAATTATTAAATAACCATAAATTTTAACTTTATGTTTATCATATATCATTTTAATAATAGATATCGCATTAAAGTTCAATAGTTGCATGTTTATTTTTTTTGCATTTAAATATTTTTATTTTCAATCTGTCGACATGGCAATATTGACAAAATACTGCAAATTCGTGCAATTCTATCAAATGTGTTTACTACTTCGACAGCGAAAATTGTTCAAAATATTGAATATGGTTTTTTCTAAAGATAGAATTATAATACATGTGATAGAAACTTGATGATTTTAATTTTTATGAAACAGAAAATCTTTTATACATGATGTAATTTTAAAATCAAAAAAACAGATTTTGAAAGTAATAAAATTAATTTTTATGGAATAAAAAAAATTCTAATTTAAAAATTAATTTACAAAATCAATTCTAGACTTAAAACGATTAATTGAATAAAATTGTTGTGATAAATGATTGAGACAAGTTATGGCAAGATCGTTATTTTCTTAAAATTAAGTAGACTAGTTCCGTAATCGTGGAGTATGTTACCAGACTGCTTACAAACTACATTAAGCGTAATGGTTCCGTATTCACGGTTTTAGCTACGCCAGTCTGCTTACAAATTGCGGTAAACATGTCCGAAACTTTCCTTCCTTGGATGTTTTTTTTTAGTTTTTCCATCAAAAAAACTATGTTTCTTACATCCTCCGCCAAAATAAACGATTAAATTCCAATACGAGAAATGTCAAGTGGCAATAAAGTATCTTAGAAACAAATTCTAAATATTCAGAAGATTTTAATTAAAATATTTTATATTTAAAATCCAAATCGATTTTATTTTGATAAATGAAGTGTCTTTATTATTTAAAGTAAGTATGAAAAAAAAATCCAAGGAATATATAGATTAAATTGAATTAGATTAGGTTAGATTAAAAATATTTTATGTTTAAAATTTATTTTATTTCATTTTGATGATTAAAGTGTCTTATGTTATTCATGAAAAAGAGAAAATGTAGTAATATAATTTAGGTTAGGTTAATTTTACAATAAACTATCTTTATATATTCGATATGGAAGAAGAATGATATAAATATTTTATGTGAGAACTAATTAAATTTTAGGTTAGGTTAGGTTAGTTTAATCTATGTGATGAGTAAAAGTGATAGATTAAAGACATACCAGACTTGGATTATGTTCATTCAATTGTTAATTACAGTCATAACTTCGTTAATTATAAAATTGATACAAATATTCAGACAATTGTGATTATATATATCATCTAACATAAATGAAATATAACAAAGAAATTTTATTCTCTAATCTTTTAAAAAATTAAAACTTGAAAAATTTACATTAAAAATAATTATTGAATTTGAATTAAAAAAAAAAAATACTTTCAATTATTTTATTTATATTTTTTTTTTTAGGAAAAATATAATTTTCTGTAATTATATCTATAAAAAATTTAAATAATTTCTAATCGTACATTCATTATGTAATATTCCTTCAATCAACAAGGACCAACTTTGTTTAGGTAAGCTTTCAACATCATCCTCTTAAAACTAGGCAAACTAGCGCCATAATCAAACCTGTAAGCATACCACCAGACTTGCCCATGGATTGGATTAAGCTCGTTCATAAGTATCCTAACGTCCTTTATTTACATTAAAAGACACAAGATGGG